TATATATATATATATATATATAATTTCTATGGCCACCCAGATCACAACAGAAGCTTCCAAACTCCTCCATCTTTCTAGTTTCACTGTGTTTCTTCTGCCATGAAGCCACAACCTCCAGTAAGAAAATCCTTCAGTATCTTCCTACTGTCCGGCCTTCCTTACTAGCTCTTAATGATATGGCATCATGATTGTTAAAAAAGTGGATATCTCAGCTCAGCCTGTTACAATATTCTCTAGAGCCACCACTCAAATGTCCAGTGGTTGAGTTCACCAATACAGGTGGTCCTCACTTAACAACCACTCATTCAGGAACCGTTTGAACTTGCAATGGCACTGAACGAGTGGTACTTACGACCAGTCCACGAAGTTCCAGCCGTTGCATCATCCCTGCAGTCATGTGATTGTAACCCAGGTGCTTGGTGCCTGGCTTGCGATTATGACATTGCAGCATCCCGCAGTCACATGGTCACCATTTGTAACCTTTTTTTCAATTCATGAACTTGGGAAGAAAACTGTACCAGATATTTCCTTTACATTGTTGCCAGTCTTCCCGTCCTCCACATTTTTAGAAATAAATGAATTCTGTAAGTTATTTCTTTTAATTCTTGCATATTTCAACATCTGAACTAGCGTTTTGAATTTTTTTTCATTATTACAATTATGATTAAAATGTTAAAATCCTAATAGGCAGTTTTCTTCTTGTCAGCATTACCCAAATAATAAAAATCTGGAGGAATTGCCTATGATTTTTCAAATCCAAGAAATCATTATAGATTCAGATGCTTCTCTGGGTGATATCTGAAATATTCTCTTTCATGAATAATTGTGTTAATTGTTGTTTCTCGTTGTGATTTCCCTTTCTTTCTAGATACTTACGGGCAACCCCAGAGGACCTCGGTCTCCTTTTTCTCCTTGGACACCCTTTTCACCTTTCATTCCATCAATGCCTGCTTCTCCCTAAAAGAAAAATACATCAGTAAAAAGCTAATTCTTCCCTGGTATGTTTCTAAATAGGAGTTAATTACAGAGAAAAGACCTTGGTAACATCTAAAAACCATTTATATAGAAATGACAAGATGGCATTTTGCTAACTTTACTAATGACTGCAAAAAGAGAAAGTTCAAGTCCTGTATGAAAAGATATTGGAAGATAACTTAATCTCCCAATAGAATGAAAGGAAAGTGAACATAAGGAAGGAAGATGTGAAAGCTGTTTGGAACATAGAGGGTGGAGTTATGGTCATGGGCACATAGAAAAGGATGCCTGGTGGAATATTGATGTGAAAAGGCCATGGATGACAAAAAAGGTGCATGAGAGAATGATTGCTGCAAAAAAAGAAGGATGAAAAATAAAGAGATACTATATAATGTGTACGTCGAACAAAGAAAATGGCAAAGAATGTAGACAGAGAGAGCAAAGAACAGATATGATTAAGAGACAGAGAAGATGCAGCATGATTTTAATGGAAATAAAAAATTGCATAGAAGTCGGTGAAGAGGGATTAACAAGGAACCTCCAGGAAAATAAGTGGAATGAAAAATAAAGGTAATGAAATGGTTTGGGATGGAAGTGAAGACAGAGAAAGCTGGATGAAGAGTTTCAGAGACTTGCATGGGAATTATAGCGATGTCAGTAGAATTGAAAAGAATGCTACAAAAGTAAATGTGCAAAAAAAGTGAAAACTAAATAATAAATGCTTGAGAATATTGAAGATGGTAAGAATGCAGGTAGAGACACTCTATTTGGAGTTAGGTTAAAATAGGGATGTTGTTTGTTTGTTGAATGGATTTGTAATTTGTTTAAGGTAGGCGCAACGGCCTCCTCTACGCCATCAAATTGGAAAAATGCGAATATTGCTCCCTTACATAGAATGAAAAGCAGCAAAAATGAATGCAAAAGATACAGAAGGATTTGTGTATTAACGGGGAAGGAGTCTGGCAGAATTCTGATCGAAAAGGTATGAGAGTTAACAATGAGCAGCATCTGGGATATGTTGATGAAGGTTCTCAGTCATCCAGGTGGAATTGTCTGGAGGTTGAGTCATGGCAACTGGACTTCTTTTCTTTTATATGTTGATGAAGGTTCTCAGTCATCCAGGTGGAATTGTCTGGAGGTTGAGTCATGGCAACTGGACTTCTTTTCTTTTATATGTTGATGAAGGTTCTCAGTCATCCAGGTGGAATTGTCTGGAGGTTGAGTCATGGCAACTGGACTTCTTTTCTTTTGGTTTGATATGTTTCATGGCTTGTCCAAGCAGCTTCTTCAGTCTAGAAAGTTGGTTGGGGGGGACCCCATAGATGTCTTCCAGGGTGGCTGCGTTTCTCACTTACATGATGGGCTTGTTGAAGGGACAATAGGAGATGTGACTGGTAGAGTCTTTGGGATGTGGATGTCTTGCTCCTAATCCCTCACTCATTAAGAGATGTGCAGAGCAGATTTTTGCTCAGCAGGTCATGAATGTAAGGGAAAAAAAACTTATTGGGTACTGTGTTGATATAGAGAATGCTAAGAGGAATTATGGAAAGTTTTGCATGAGTATGGAACTGATTGTTGATTACTGAATATGTTAAGAATAGTATATGATTGAAATAAATTGTTCGTGAGAATAAATGAAATGTTTAGTGAATGATTCAACATAAGCAGGCAAAGATAAGGAAGTGTGTGTTTATAGATGCATGCATAAAAAAGTGTTTGTGATGTGTTATCTTAGAAGTGAGATTAGGAATATATTGATTGTGGCTGTATATCTACTTATATATGTAGATAGTGCCAATATGAATTACAGTGAATTTTGGATAGATTATATGATGCAATGAGGAGTATGTATCTCAAAATTAATATGTCAAAGCCCAAAGTATTTGTATTTCACAAGGGAAATGGAATGAATGACAGGACATGATGCATAAATGGAAAAAAGCTAACGCAAATAGATTAATTTGTTTACCTTGATAGGAAGTTTATGAGAGATAAAAGAGCTTAGGAATTTTATGAAATATTTAGGAAATTTTAGGAAATATAAATGCTGATAGAAAGGTAGAGGACAGTATATCGTTCATTGTGAGCAATGAACATTTGTTGAAAGAAACTAAAATGAAAATGAAAGAAGAAATGAAAATGATTGAGTTTCTGCCAGTTTTGCATATGGAAGTAAGAGTTGGATCTGTCAGGAGAAATATACATTTTGAATGCAGTAGGAACAGAATACTTGAGAAGTGTGTGTGGTAAAACCAGAAGAGAGAGGGTCAAGAATGAACGGATGTTGAGTGAATGTAGATTTACAATAAAATGAGAAGCTGGTTTGTTTATATAGAGAGAAGAGTGAATGGGTCAAGAGGAAGAGGGGGATTGAGACAGTCATGGTTGGATGGAGTTGATGAAATCCTCAAAAAGACAGAAGTTTAAAGAAAAAAAGGTGGCATATGAAGTGGAATATGGACATGGTAGAAGTCTGATGATTTGCATGACAGAAAGGTATGGAGAGTAAATGATCTATAGAAAATCTAGTTTATGATTTTTGTTTTCTTTTTTCTTGTTTCATGTCTTTACTTTCTTATTATTATTTCCTTTTCCTTTTCTACATTTTCCATAATAACATGTACTCTGAAGGGGAATGGCATGATGAATGTGAATGCACATAGAAAGACAAGCAATGTTTCAGGTTTCATGGCCAACATTTTTAGTATACAACAGACTAGATGCTAGTCAGATCAGCCTATTTGGTAGTTCCCAAACTTTGGGTTGTTTCCACACCCTAGCACTAGAAATCAAATGCCATTGTGCAATTATTAGACCTTTTTTTCCCCTTAATGAGTGTTCATTCAAAGAAAAAAAAAGTGGAAATACATCTGAAATGTATATGTAGGAAACACTGTAGTCTAAACACAGTTGCAACATTTCATGAATAAAGAGGAACAATTATGTGATAAATCTCTTCTGGAAACCCTAACCCTTTGTTGGAATGTAGTTGCCTGTGCTCCAGCAGATGAAGTTTAAGCATACTAGGACTCTACAAAACACTACTGTACTGCTACTATTACTAATGCTCTAATATAAGGGATTGACACATAATAGATATAAAAGGGTTAGCTGCTTTATATCCTTACACATGCTATGCAGGGATATAATGTGTATGTATGTATGTGTGTATATATATATTTGAAGAAACTCAGGGATGGACAAAGCATTGTAGGCATTGTTGAACATCAACTCCTGACAACCTTAGGAAGTTTGGCCAATGGCAAGAAATATTGAGATATATACCTCAGTAACTTTTAGAGCAGTGTTTTTCAACCTTAGCAACTTTAAGATGCTAAGTTGAAAAACAAACATGCTGGTTGGGGAATTCTGGGAGTTGAAGTCCATACATCTTAAAGTTGGCAAGGTTGAGAAACACTGTTTTAGAGAGTCACAGGTTGATTACCTCTGCTCCAAACTGTTTCCCTTCCACAGCAGCACACTCAGTATTTCTCCAAGCTGCCTAATTTAGTTCAATTTGATTACTTGTGATTCTTACCTTAGGTCCTGGTAGGCCTTGAAGACCCTACATTTGGAATTTTAAAAAAAGTTGATATAATAATTTTTCAGCTTAAAGTTCTAGCACTACAAGGACACCCAGCTTTTCTCTACTGCAGTAGTTCTTAAACTATTTGAAATAATGTCTGAAATAACGTCATTATCCCCACCAAAAAAAAAAAAAAAAACCAGACTCACTTGCTTTACACAAGTGTCTTGGCAGTGGCAATCCCAAACTGGATCTTCGACTCACAAACAAGCAATTACAAATTGCTCCATTACCCTCAGGATATGCCCAAATTACCCCTGGTTTAAGAACCTCTGCTCTACAGGTAGTCCTCACTTAACAACAGTAATTGGGACTGGAAAATCCATTGCTAAGTGGCACAGTCATTGAGTGCGATATCCTGTGACCACATCACTTAGCGACGGCAGTTCTGGCAGTCCCGGTTGCCATCATTAAGCATGGGTCATTAAGTGAGGACCTCACATGACTGTGACTTCCAACTTCCTGCCAGCTTCCCCATTGACTTTGCTTGTGCAAAGCCAGCAGGGAAGTTTGCAAACTGTGATCATGTGACTGCAGGATGCTGCAACAGCCGGAAATGTGGGCTGGTTATCAAGTGCCCAGACTGAGATCATGTGACCATGGGGGCGCTGCAACGGCTGCAACTACGAGGACAGGTACTACTCATTCAGTGCTGGTGTAAGTTTGAAGGGTCGCTGAGCAAGTGGTGGTTAAATGAGAACTACCTGTACTGGTTAGCTAACATTTTGAATCATAATAAATGACAGTTACAGGAAACATCCGCATTGTGTTTGCTTGCATACCTACCCATTATGGTCCAATCCATGGAAAATAAGTGTACTGTTCCAGTAATAATATACGCAGTGCTTTTGCTGATTGACCCTATCAACAAATCATTTAAAGGCATCTGCATATATCAAATAGAAGAGGTAATGCTCATTGTGATTTCTGTAATTCACATATATGAACCGTTACATTGTGCAGCCTGGAATTTTGTGGAGTTAAACCTTTTGGTGACTGCTCCTTTCTTTTTATATGCTGCACGCTCATAGGCAGGACTCCCACTGATGCTCCTTGTTCCTGTAGTGGTGCAGGCAGTGATGAACATGTCTCACTATGTCCATGCGACCCCACTGCACTGCATGTTGCGCTGGCTACCAGTTAGTTTCTGAGTGCAATTCAAGTTGCTGGTTATTATCTATAAATCCCTTCATGGCATAGGCCTGGCTACTTGAGGGACCATCTGTCTCTGGTTATTTCTGCTCATCTTCTGCAATCAGGCAGAGTGCGTGCACTTCAGGTCCCATCGATTAAGCAGTATTATATTGTGGGATCCAGGAAGTGTGCCTTCTCTGTCCTGGTTCCAGCCTTCTGGAATGATATCCTGCCCCCCTGAGATCCAGATGGCTTCCACTCTGATGACATTCAGGAAACGATTGAAGACCTGGCTATTCTCCCTGTTAAAAGCTACAAAGAATAGACCACACTGAGAAAGTTGTATTTCTTGTGATTACCAGTTATTGGTCCTTCAAAAGCCAGTAACTTGGTTTAGGCCAATGTATTTGGTGGAAGATTCCTCCAAAATAAAGAGATGGTATTAGGGAATACTGTACTTCAGAAAGGGAAAATATTTATAGTTCACATTACAGAAAAAACTTACTGGGGTTCCAGGTGGACCTTGAGGCCCTGGTGGACCAGTTACCTAAAACCCAAAATAGAAAAGCAAATGTCATTTTCATAATAAATCACTTTCATGCTCAGTAAATAAAAGCAGTAGCCTGACCCACAAAATATTATATAGTAATTAAACCTGTCATTGTGAAAGTAGTACTTAGGAAGAAGGGATGAAGAAAAATGAGCCATGGATAGGGAAGGGAGGAGTTCCTCTAGTGTTCTAAAAGATAACTTGTGTTTGGATCACTTACTGAGGTCCCAATATCTCCTTTTTCTCCAGGTTCTCCCTTCTCTCCCTGTAAATACAACAATATGGTAATAAAAAGAGCATCCATATAAGATGTTAAGTCATTATAGTGGTGAAATTTCAAGATGGCTAACAATTCAGATAAAGACATCATAAAGAAGTAAATAAAAATGCAATCATTAGGATGTTTTTGGAATACTACTAAATGCCCCACTGGCTACTACGATTAACTAGCATTCTATCTAATTTGAGCAATGTTTTTAAACCGTAATGTATGTATCGAAAGGAAGCACCAAAGTTGAAATCTTGAAAAGAAATCTTGCAATGATGACTTTCCAAACCTGCTTTACCCCAGGGATATGCCTGCATACACACCATTGAGTTTTTGTTCCTTCTCAATGATTGCTCTGCATTTGTTGCTCACAACTTGTCAAAGCTGATGGTCATGAGAAGTCTCTTGATCAAGCAAGAGCATGAAGCTGTGTAGGGGAATGGGTCTTTGGAGACTTTGGTCTTGGCAGATCCAAAGGAATCCAACCACAAACTTGCTGAGTGGCCTTCAGTGACCATCTGAACTTCAGCTGAGGAAGAAAGCTTAAGGCATATTGTTTTGTTCAGGGCATATTGCTTTCATCTGATGAATGATTTCACTAATTGATTTTCTTGATAGTGGCAGCAATATTTTAGAAAAATCATTTGGTGTGCTTACTGTAAAACCCGGAAGTCCAATTGGACCGATGAGACCTGGAGGTCCAGGCATCCCTTGGTCACCTTTAGCTCCAGTTAGGCCATCAAGACCCTACAGGGGAAGAAAGATTTAAGGTGGAATTATGTAATGGGAAAGATACTTTAATTGCTTGTTTTTTTTTCAAATGGGAGTAATATTTGTATCCAAGTGCAGCCTTTAAGGGACATGGAGTCCTTTGTGAAAAAGTTAATCCTATGATGTGTTTTTAACAGTCTCTAGTTTAAAAGCACAGTAGATGCAAAGCAAGCAATACTTGAAAAGAACCCAAAATGTACCACGGAATCCTCGATTCAATAGCCACAGAAGGTATGGAAAGAAAGAATATAATTCAAAAGTGTGTCAGTCTGTGTCTTTGCAAATGTAGATATAAAATGTTGGAGTTAGAAACTTTTCAATAGCCTTCTTTATAGACTTGCATGGGGTCACCTTAGTGTGTACTTTCCCCAGTAACGCTTCTCAATTTTAGCTAGTGTTGTGATCAGCTAAGTCCTTAGAAGAGGCTTTCTTCTCCATGATATCCTGTGATAAGGAAGAAGACAGAAGAAATGGTAGGGGAAATACTTAAAATGTAGGCTTGATATGATGCAGAAAGACTTCTTTTTTCCCACCTTCATCTTGACTTAAAACAAAGGACTTTTTGGTTGTTTTAATGCTGCCTTCAGCTGGTTGTCTCCTATGCATAAGCTGGCTAGATGTCAAGCTGGTTTAAGATATTCCTTTCTGGGTTTCAACCCCTTCTTCCACTTGGAACACATTGATGGCCAGGAGCTCTATCTGGACTGCATGGTTCCTGACTGGTGGATTCCCCTGCTTCTTTTCCCTTCCCACCCAGGCCAGGAAAGCAAATGACCTTTCTATTTGTGGGCATGTCTTTGGAGGACTGATGAAAAAAGAAAAGTCAAGAGTTTTGCAGTTCTTCCTGTCTCTTGGGCTAGAAGGGAAATTTAGCAGGACTCTGCTCAGTTTGAAAGCAAAGTAACAAAAATAGCCAGCATTTCACCATTCTGCTGCTGAACCTAATAGACAAAGAGACAGACAAACAAAGGTCCACCCTTTCATGTCAGGCAGCCCAACAGCAGACTGTTGAAGGGAGAGAGCAGGGACAGAAGGTGTACCTGCCAAACCACACATCAGCCAATTGGAATAGAGGCATTTGTGTAGGCCAGAATGAATGCAATAGGTGGACTGGATGCTCTGCTTGCACCAGTGGAGAGAGGAAAACATTACTCTTCACGTGGAGTCAGAGGACCTGAATGGAGATCAGGGACAGGCTGAGGATGACATGACCTGCTCCTGCCCTCCCCTAGATGTGTTCTCGTGCTGGGGTAAGTAGGAAGTATGGATCATCCCAAAGACTTATACAAGGTGTAAGCTCTGTAAGTTATGATACCATGTGGAGTACAATAATCCCATTCTCAATAACTACCTAAATATAGGCTAAGTGTATCACTTTTCAAAATGAACCCAACAAACATTCTTCTTCTTCCATGGAAACAGTTAAACTGAAGAATGTCTTCGGATAGCAACTCCAGCTTCAGGCAGCAGAGTCACCTCTCTGAGAATTTAGTATTGTTATTCTTCTTTTATGGAAACAAACTCAAGAATGCCTTTGTATAGCAACTCTGGCTTCAGATAGGAGAGCCACCTCTTAGAGAATTTAATATGGCAATTCTTCCTCTTGTTATCCTCTGTGGGCCATCCCACCAGACATGCAGCACATATTTCTCATATCTAGCCCCTTACCTTTTCTCCATCACGTCCTGGAAGACCTGGCAGGCCAATTTCACCCTGAAGTGGGAACACCAATGGAAAGGGGAAAAAGCGAAACACTTTTTTTTTTCCTTTTTTTTCTTTTATAAAGCTTGGAACTTTACAAAAGAGATGTGAAGACAGAACAAATACTCTTAGCAAAAGTGTTATTTGAAGCTTGACGAATAAAGAGGGAACAGTTATGTTTAAGAGACTGGGATCATGGACCAAATTAGCACTAAAAGTTGAATTATAACCCTAAGATTCTCAGATTCTAAGTATGAAAATAATGCTTGTTCTTTGGGCCTCCAAGTTGTTCTTGAATTTATATTGCAAACATGATACAGTAGTGTCAGCTGTTACATAAATATCTGTTGCAATCTGAAAATGTTCACTATCCATAGGAAAAAGGAAGCAACCACTTTCATTTTACCCTCTTCTTCTCTCCCGGTTGTGTGATGGGGTTGTCCATTTTAATCTTGTAAGCTGCCCACAGTCACTTGTGTGAGATGGGCAGCTATATAAATCATATAAATAAATAATAAAACAAAAGCGAATGGGTGATCAGCAGGACCAAAGGGAAACATTGACTGCATTGGGAAATCACCAAGTACCACATTGACAATTCCATTTGCTTTATAAAAGCTCTCAAAGGGTTTTTACATAGTGCATTTTACAGTGGGATTCAACTCAACATTATGATTATCCACATTTTGAACTGGCAGAGAAGAACAGTATCTTTCTCTGCCTCTGTTTAATTTTCATCATATTCATCCAATTTTTAATTCATGAGATGGAAAGGACTTTATCTTTGTTGACTCTTATGAATCATGAAGACTGAAGTTACCTTCTGTCCAGGTGGTCCAGCTGGCCCTGCAATCCCTGGAAGACCAGGAGGTCCCTGACAGAGGAAAAACTCATTGTTTACAAGTACCTAAATATAACTACTTATTTCCCTTTCTTCAAAAAAAAAGTCAGTGTCCTTATTTGGAATAGGATAAGATGTATGTGGATGTGGGTGTTGCTGTATATTTAATCAATTTCTCTGAAGCTCCTTAAGATGGACAAATGTGAAGTAGGAAACAAATCAAAGCACAATGAAAAATAGATATTCTGCTGTGTGGCTTTCATACTTAGGCTACTGATCAATCTTCAGTATCCTAATTAACCTGTTAAACGAATAGAGTGCCAAAATGAATTTATCTACCAGTCCAAATTAAGCATCAGATGAGTCTTTAAATTACAGGAGGAAGAATTTGGCATTCCCAACATGCTAATGTTGGTCAAACTGGCCGGAAATGATAGAAACTGTCATCCAACATATCCATAAGGCACCAAGTGGGGGAAATTAAGGATGTATGCTTGATTTCCTACTCTGCTCCCATTGGCTAGTGTATTAATGAATTATGGAAGCAAGCTTTGTATATGGAGATGGCCACCTGAATTGTAAAGATAACCTGTTGTTTCCTCCCACTCACCCACAAAGTATTTCTTCCTGGGCTGCCTCTCCGACTCTCCCTTCCAAGGTGGTCACAGAGTGATGTGAATATAGGACAATAACCTACTGCTTTGTTCCCTGTAATAGGAGGGCAGGCCCTGCATATACTGTTTTGGTAACCTGATGCCACACTTGCTCTTTGAGAGGGGGACAGGTTCAATGGCAGTGCTATATCCCACTGAGAGGCAAGAAGACAGCTATCAGTAGGTACATCTCCCAGGTTCTTGTGGTGGGATGAAATGCTGAGATGAAGAACAATGAAATATTACACAACTAGCCTATAATTATAGAAAATGATGAGTTCTCCATTTAGCTGTGTGTGGCATTCTATAATACACCTGCCAGTATTGATAGGTCTGTCCTTCTATTTAATTGACTTTTTATTAAGAACCACAGCTCATACAAAAGAAGATTAACTCACCATGAGGGCCAAAGTTCGTATCTCCTGAATGAAAGAAGAACAACTGTGTGCATACATCTTCTATAGCTATGCTTGTATCTATGTATCACAGAAGCTACAGTGCTATAGGTAGATATGATTCAAATAATTTCAAGTAATAATATGGTTGCAATCAACCTGCCAGTTAATGTATAGGTATCTTTCTATCTGCAATCTCCTTGCCATTCAAAGCCTATTTCAGAGGATTAGGGTTTACTTTGGAATGCTATGAGAATATAATTAGCTGGTGCCATTCAGTCTGTAACAATAGTCTAGATCCATACAGGTAACACTATCATCTTCATCTATGTGTCTAGAATAGTATAAATGAAGTATGTAATTTAATCATATGCTGCAGTGCAATCTACACGAAACTCCCAATTATTCTTCATGTAATAGGAAAGAGGAAGAGGACTATAGGAAAGAGGAAGAAGAAGAGGAAAGAATTATAGGAAAAGAAAAGGACTATAGGAAAGAGAAAGAGGACTATTGGAAAGACGAAGTGGGCTATAGGAAAGAGAAGAGGAGGATGAAGCAAAGAAAAGAAGAGGATGACCAGCAGCAAGGTAGGTGGACTCAGTTGCAGTGGCAATGAGTGCACTGTTGGGAGACCTGAAAGAATATGTTAGGGATAGATCATCATGGAGAAAATCTATCTATGTGGTTGTTAGGAGTCTAAAACGACTTGATGGCACATAATCAATCGATAGCAAATTGAAACAATTAATAAGAAGGTTCACAGGAGCATTATCTGTATCTATAGTATATCTGTTACTTCCTTACCTGTAAAGCTTCATTGATGTTACCATTGTAGTCTACCATTTCACTCTTCCCTGGTTCACCCTTGGGGCCCTAAAAGAAGATATAAATGGTTAGGAACTGGATTTCTGGACTAATACATATTTATAAAGTGTGCCTGTGTCCGTGGCTGAAATCTATTCTGTAAGGAAAGTTGCAAAACCCTTGTCACACACAAAACAGCTAGATTTATACACCACAATGCATTTGGATGGATTTTGGTGGACTGTGATATATGAATTCAGCACATATAATACAGGAATGGCAGCTGTATTCCTTAGTAGCTAGGAAATCTTTAGGAGAATTTTAATACTTTTTGTTTATATATAGGGAGAAAGACTATCAAACTACAGTACCCTTGTATAGAATTTCATCTTACTAAATAGGGTATTTATTTATTTATCTATTTAAAATAATTTATACTGTGAACAAACTTCCTTGAAGGAGATTTTTCAAAGGAGTTTTCAATCCCAAAAGAAGAGCACTAGGGATGTATCCTACTGACACCATTTTTTCAACATCTATGAAGAAATATTTGATGAATTAAGCACTGTAACAGAACTATCAATAGGTGGTATGAAAACAAACAGTTTAAGATATGCAGATGATACTGTCTCCAGGCAGAAAAAGTTAGAACCAGAAGCTTCTAACTGAGGAAACAAAAACAAGTGGAAAATAAGAGTTATGTTTTAATACCAAAAAAACAAAACAAAACCATAAAGTGGTGGTAATCTTAAGGAAAAAAGATCCTCCGAAAATTACAAAAAGTTCAGTGATATCCCTTTTCAGCAAGACAAGAATTTTGTCTATTTTGCATACAATAGCTGATGAAATAAAGAGGTGAATAAAAATTGCCAGAAATTTAAACATGATGGGTATCTGTTCTCAAAGGGAATGGATACCAAGAATAAGAATGATCATATGCTACATTTGAGCAATTCTCCTTTACAACTGTGAAATATCAACAGTATCCAAGGAAGCTGAGAACAGGCTGAAAGCCTTTGAAACTTTTAAGGAGAACCTTGAGAATCCCTTGGAGTGACAAAAAATGAAATCTTGAAGTCCCAGAGGTGGCAGGAGAAAAGACCATCAAACAACAACAAAACAAAGCTCTGAGGTATTTGGATATATACTCAGATGCAACTCTCTATAAAGGACCCACTAGAGGGAACAGTAGAAGGAAAACGAAGCAGGAGAAGACAAAGAGACAACGGGATTGGTCTAATGTAGAATCTGCAAGAGAGGCACAGAGACAGACCCTGTGGAGACTCATGGTCCCCAACCTCCTTGAAGGAGCAGACACTTGAACTGAAATGAACTGAAGTGAACTGAGGGGGCTTTTTGGCAAATGCATGAAGTGAAATACATGGATGGGTGTGGAGTACTTGTAATTTAGCTGACATCTGCTTGCTGGAGGCCTATTTATACTAATTTTAATTTTATTACTGATACATAATTTTATATAATATAGTTGGCTAATTTATTATGTTGATCTATTAAGTTATTGTAACGTGGTCTGATTTTAACTGTACACTGTTACATGTCCTTGGGAAACATGGTGCTTTAAAATATAATAAATTAATACATGCAAACAGTCATACTCATGGGGGAGGAGACTGACTGGATTATGTTCTTTGTGCTTTCTTATTGGCTTTCCTATCTTGGGGGACAATTGGGGAGCACTGATTGGCTCATGGGGCTCTCTGTTTGCTGTGTTCTGAGCTTGGCAGAAGAGAAGAGAATTGTGGGTCAGTTTACAAATGTATTTTTTGAGGGATTGTGGGATGGAAACACCAGTGGTATGGAACTGCCTTAAGCCTCTCCTCACATTAATAGATAATTATGTAAGTCTGTATGAGCATGAACTGCAAGTTAATGTAGATCTTTTATATCTGTGTGTGTTTCATATTAACTCATTGATTACAAGGGGGTGGGTATTTATTAGACCTGAGCAGGTCATTTGGTGAGGACTTTCACTCATAAAGGTTCTGCTCCATTTAACTGCTCTTCTGAGCATGTGTCTGCACACTTGGATGACACTTCCTCTGGAGGGCATCAGGGTGGTAGGTGAAACGAAGCAAGCAGAATAAAAGCAGGTAGGAAATTCTGATACCTTTAAGAGATTAAAGAGTGGTTTTATATTCCTCTTGGAAGTGCTATTTGCTGACCTTCATAGTCATTTCTAGCCCACTTCTGAACATTGTTCACTACATAAGTGTGGAATGTCATAGAAATGCATTCACCTTTGGTCCTGGAGGCCCCGGTAATCCTGGTGGTCCTGGTTCTCCTTTACCTCCTCCAAGTGCATTGCTAGAATCTCCTTTTTCGCCCTTAAAGAGGTTAACAAAATGAGCCATGATTAGTATTAATGAATCATATTTTCTATATTTGAGGGCGATCTGATGCCCTCCAGAAATAATGGAATTGCAACTCTGGGAACTCTGAAAGTTGTTGTCTCAACACATTTGCAGAATATTAAGTTGGTAGCAAATTCATGGCAGACTCAATTCTTTGAGTGCCTGTCCTTTGGTTAACCAAAACAACCCCATCTATGCAGAAGAGGGATATTTCAGGAGAACTTCCCCAAGATTTATAGACTTAGACAAAATATAGAATGAAATCAACATAACTGGGAAGTGTTGATGGTGGGGAAACAGTTCAGTGAAGATTAAGCATCCTCAATGGATTGGATATAGAGCACTTTTAAATGGTGTGGCTTGGAAACTGGAATTATTTTCTTGCTGGATTTTTAAATGAAACAGTCCAGATGGCAATTTTTTTGCAGGTTCTACATGTTTATTATTTAGAGATGCAAAACTATCATCATCATCATCATCATCATCATCTGGACAAATAGAAATAATACATTTGTTGGCAACTTAATTACTAATTTATTGTGGCATAAGGTTTTGATATGTAGCCTGTTGTCTAAGAAAAGTTATGCTTTAAGTTAGGGTTCCTCAACCTTGGCGACTTGAAGACGTGTGGACTACAAATTCCAGAATTCCCCAGCCAGCATGGCTGGCTGGGGAATTCTAGCAGTTGAAGTCTACACATCTTCAAGTTGCCAAGGTTGAGGAACCCTGCTTTAAGTCTTTAAAGCCTTCGGTCCTTAACTAGCTACTGGATAAGAGATGGATCATTATGGCCGATAGGCTGTCAAATATTCATAAATGGAGTTTATACTTGGAGTTTATATTTGGAATAAATTCAGTCCCAGTCATGACAGGTCCAATTTTAACACACACACACACACGCACACACACACACACACATATATATAGAGAAAGAGAAAGAGAGAGAGAGTGCGCATAAAACAGGATTGAATTAAAGAAGTTGATTCAATATACTCCAGATTTTTGTACATAGCTCACCATGTAACCGCTTCAGTTCGATGTATCTACCCATTCATTTTCAAAGTTAATCAAAGCTCTGTTACAGTTTTATCTCAGTTTGAGATGCTCATTTGATGCCAAGAGGGGGATCAACAACTTATATGTTTTTGAGCTTGCAATAAAATAAAATAAATCTTCCCTCACTCTCCTAGGTCCCATTTAGATAACAAAACAAACCTTTTCTCCCATGGTTCCATGAGGTCCCGGGTCACCAGGTTTCCCTTTCTCACCCTGTTGACGAAATATAGGTAAGATCAGATGCTGGATGCTATGATTTGTTTTATCTTATAAGGGGGATTGGAAAAAGAGCATAATAACCACCTCTCCTTTGTTACTTATGCCTATTTTTTTACAAGCTTTCAGCTGGAAGAAGGTCCAGATTTTCAAAATAAATGTAACCTGGATTTCCTACCAGAAGTATTTTCTTTTTGCCTGGAGAGCATGGGTGTCTGTGGGGGGAGGGGAAGGAAGGTGATGTCATACGCAGCATGATGTCATTGCACAAATAATGCAAATTAGACAGTTTGTGTCATTTGTGCCCTGAAAGCATGATGCATGTCACGTCATCATGGCTTGCACCTCACCTCTGTCCTGCTGGACCCTATCACACCATGGTTGTATGTCATTATCTGATTATGTCTGCAAATATTTCAAACTAAAAGGCTGCAAAAGTCAGAAGGAATCTCAAATAATTGATATTAATTTTTTTTTTTTAAGTTGGGCTCTTAATCTTTTTTTAAAAAAAACTGCTCTACAATGGGATTTAAAACTAATGTAAATTTTAAAGCTGGTAGCCTTAAAGGAGGAGGTGATATACCTCTCCAGAAAAGCTTTCCCAAAGATGCATCAGGGACCTCTTTACTGGGCAAAGTACTGCAGAGGGCAATATTTGTGCAGCTGCAGACATTTTGGGAAGAAACCGATTAACCTGGCCTGTGTCAGTCTGGGTTCAAGACTGAATCACTTTGGAAGCTCTGATGAATCACCTTCTGATGGAAAGAAACAAAGAGGGAGTACAGCTCTGTTGATTCTGATAAGTTGCTTAGTACCTTCTGAATTATCTCTGTAAAATGGGGACTGGAGACAGTGATTCAACTCCTACTTGCAGGGACAGTTTCAGATAATACTATTATGCATTTAAGCTCCAGCACCCTTCTAGTTATAGCACGAGAGCTACAAGTCTGTCTTGATCCCATACTCTATAACATCTATGTGAAGCCACTGAAGATGCTCATCAGGTATTTTGGGTGAAGTACTAATGACATCTAACTCTGTTCCTCCATAATATCTCAGTCAGGTGAGGTGTATAACCTTCCATGGTATCTGGACGAAATAATGAGTAGAATGTTAATACATTTAGGCTGAGCCCTGATAAGTTGGAGGCCTTGTAGGTGAGTAGATCCTAGGTATGGAAAATGTTGACTGCCTGTTTTCATTGGGGTTGCATTAGTTCAAAAGGAACAGATTTGGAGTTTGGAGGTTCTCCTATTGTCATCATCACTAAAAGCCTAATCCCATCCTGGATGACCTTCTACCTAGGGCCTTTCCTGGACAGGGACAGCCTAGGTTCATTTTTGGATTGCTAAAGTGCATTAATTTACACGATGATTAAGATAATCTGAGTAAGTCCAACTATAAGTGGCATGAATTACTGGTGTCATCTTACAATCATTCATGACTGAAGCTTCTACATAATAGCATCAACTCTTTAGAATGATATTCCCCACAATGTTTGAGAGGCAACTAAAGTTGCATCATTAGGGGTTTACCAAAGACCCAGTTTTCACCCAGGTTACTCCTGGGTGAATGATAGAAGCATTTTCTTCTCCCATCCATTTTTAATGTATTGTACATATTTTCTATCAATTATTGTAAAGTAGTGTCAGTTCATTATTATTCGTTAATAATGAGGAAGATAAGTACATTAACTTATCTTCATAACATAATAGATTAACATTGGAGGACAGTAACTAATAAGTCTCAGTAGACACTAAAATCAAGGCGCTGCCACTATCTGACAAAAATTATCCACTGAGCTCATGTGGATGCCTTGCTCCTTCTTTATGCCCAACTACCTGGACAATGCACTAATTCAGTGTTTCTCAACCTTGGGAACTTTAAGAGGTGTGGACTTCAACTCCCAGAATTCCCCAGCCAGCTTTAAGTTCTGAAGCTTGAGAAACACTGCACTAATTTAATTTGGGGTGGATGGAGGGGAAAGACCTAGTCATTTATTTTGCACAGAGAAAATGTTATTTGCCTAGTAATGAGCACTCTCTTGTTTCTAGAAGTTCCTAGAAGTTTATGACCACCCTCTTGTTTCTAGAAGTTTCACCCTCTTGTTTCTAGAAGTTTCTGAAGATTTTGAAACACATGCTTCTGAATTATGTTAACATTATATTTAGTTGGAAATAGCTATTTTTTTTAAAAAAGGTGCATATATAAAACATTTGAAATCTTAAGGAGAGTTACAAAGTTTTAAATCTTGGTATTCAGTATTCTTGCCTGGAATGAGCCATATCTAGCATACATTCTGGTGGCAAGACTTTATAATTTTCCTTTCTTTTTCTTTTTCTTTTATCCCAGAATAAAACAGCATAAAACATAGAAGAATCTAAAATCCATGCAAAATCCATGCTATATCATAAAATTGCTGTTAAGCATTCAGCATGCTGAGATGTTTATTTCATAATTTCAGTGAAAAACCAAATTAATAAAAAATAAAATAGTTTTGTTGGCCTTGACTTTGGGGTTAAGCTTCAGCCACGTAGGTAGCAGAAACCTCTTTCCAACTTTGAAAATTTAGCTCACAGCACTCTGATCACGAGTTGTGGGTTGTTGGGAAGGACAATACAGACCAACAAAATTCAAGCTTTTTATGTTTTCCTACCCTCTGCCCCCTTTTTCCAGGCAAACCTGGGGGGCCCATCTTCCCTGCAATTCCACGTTCTCCCTTTTTTATTTTTTGGTAAAAAAAGAAAGACACATAATAATGTCTGTTACACATAATAGGTAGCATGGCATATCGAAGAGCCAAAAATATGACCTCCACCCCAATCCCCATTCCTCACAAAGGACAAATTTAGATTACTTTTGTACCAAATAATATATTCCTTTTCTCCATTTCACTTAAGGTTGCTTTCCCTGAAAGGGAATAGCATGATGGGTTTACATTATATGTATGTATGGAACCAGAGCAGTCTTTCTCCACTTTAGCAACTTGAAGATGTGTAGAATTCAACTCCCAGAATTCCGCAGCCAGGGAATTCTGGGAGTTGAAGTCCACACATCTTCAAATTGCCAAGGTTGAAAAACACTGAACCAGAGTTTTTCCACCCAACATTCCACTAGCATCATACTGATATAAATAACAAGAGCCCCAACATGAAAATATGACTGTTCTAAAAAACTAATGATAAGCATAGCAACAACAATAATAATATTTATATAATGCTTCCAAGCAGTCAGAGAAATTCACATACATTATTTTAATAATTTTCAGACAAAGTCTGTAAGATGGCCACTGTTAGTGTCTCTTTAATGTAGATTGGAGAGGAAGGTAAGAGCTAAGAGATGGTAGTTTGCCTAAGATCATAAGACAAATCTGAACTGTGGATTTCTTGTTTCAAAAATGAAGTTCTTAATCATCACACTACAATAGCTCTTATTCCTCTGAGGAAGACTCCTTGAGAAGTTAATTGGTCTCCTTGGTGCTAAAGAGCTCCCACATGGAACAACTACACATGAATTGTGAACAAGGGTATAGTGAGTGTAGTTTGGAAATAAATCTCTCCTTTTTGTCTCTCCAGAGCAAACAGATGAAGCCAACTACCTGAGTTGACATCCAGTTATTCATATACTGGTTATTATAATACCAAATCTACTTAGGAGACTGAAATAAAATATGGCTAAACAAATTTAGAAGATTATTTTTTTAAATGCAGTACCTTTGCTCCTGGAATCCCAGGTTCACCCTGCATTAGGGGGAGGGGGAAAAAAAGGAAAATATATTGAGAAAAAGGGATGGTTCTTTTCTTCCTGAGTAATTGACCATTTCATGTCAAAAACGTTGTGCCCAAGACCACTTCAGATTTATTTCAGTTTCTATTTACACCTGTTTAAAAATTTCACTAAATCTCACACAGAGAAATTCACTAACACAAAATTTTACCCAGCTTTAATTGGACCAACAACCTTTTAGAAAATAAAAGGAAATCTGGAAGAATAGAAAAGCTGACAGTGAGACTGGATTAATATTTAGATTTGTCTGTGGAATTCATGAGGAATACATGGGGCACCCAATCTTATAGTTCCTTTGTATTGCTGATGTAGATTTGAGGTGCATTTCTGCCAATGCCCCCCTCAAGTGAAATTTAAGGAGATGGATATTGAAAGAGCCAGGGCCGATGGCATTTCCCTTTGTCTTTTTCCACACAAGGACACTTTAACTTGCTACTAAACAAACTTATATAGCTTCCCATCTACCAGAAGGAACTCTTGGAGGCATCCTGGCAAGAACATGGACAAGCCCAGTTCTAATCAGGATCCTTATGGGGTAGAGAGTCAAATCTACATCAGTATCTAGAGCATCTGTAAAAATATGCAGTTCTTCCTTTTACACCATTCCACCTATCATAATGGCAGCAATTTCACTACACTAACAATACATCTATCTAATCCATTCAGGGGTGTCCATGGGAGAGAAAGCTCCAAAAACTCAAGATGGTGGCTACAGCCATGCGATCAAATCTCTGCTCCTTTTTTATGTGCATCATGACCCCCCTTCTTGCAGACACTCCCGAGCCCATTCAAGATCTCATGACCTTGAAAAATGGATGATACAGAAGGTTTGGATATAGACCATATTGTCTCAGTATGGATTGCTATTCTGTATTATTGCTTTTGTTGGCACATTAAGGTTGCTTTTGACTCCTGTTTTTTATTTAAAAAAAACACACCTGTGTATGTCATGTCATGTCAAATGGGAATAGTCTGTAGTTATCTGTTGCTGTTCATTCATGGCTGCACATAATATTTTTATTCTGAAAAGATATGAAAGTTATACCCCACTTTCAGGAGTTAGGGGGAATGGAGGCCAGGGTGTTCTCTTTCTCAGCAATTTCCTCCTCTCTCTGCTACTATTATTAAAACTCCTCTGGGACCTTTTTCTGCTGAAAAGTAGAGTGAAAAGTAAGACATCTGTGATCAACATCCTTTGGGTTTTATCTCCATTTATATTTAGGGGCTCTTTCTGTAAGAGGCAACCCTTGAGTAGAAAACTAAAAGCATCTTCAACCTTGCCAGTGCAGTTCCAGGAGCCCAGATGGAGAGAGAAGAAAGACAGAATCTTTTGAAGAGAAAATAAGCATTGGTTGAGAAACAGATTGCTTAGAGAGAGAGAGAAAGTTTAATTGTTTAGTTATTATTTAGGCCAAAACATACAGACAGTATGTTGGGTTCGTGATCTAGTTTTTAGAGCAAAAGGACATCAGGTGAAAAGATGGCTTGTGAAACTCTAACTTCCCTTCTTCTCCCAGTTAACCTGAATATCCAATCTCTTCATGCTTCCTATCTGAGTTTCTGTTCTTTAAAATCTGGATCTTACTCCAGCTTTATATAGGAGGGAGGCAGAATGGGAGATATAAACTCAGTTTTGCTGCTGTTCTGCAGAGAATGGCCCATCAGAGATCCCTTTGTGGGGTCCATAATGGCAGATAATTTCCAATGAAAGATAGCTTGACTTGCACTGGCACTCTCCCCCTGCAAGGTCTAACTTGCATGCTGGAGGCATTGAGGGTCCTCTTTTTAGTCTGAGTGGGGGGCCTTCTGTGAATGGAGAAGGGAAGCTTCCTAAATTCTTTTGTATGCCATTCCATGCAGGACGTCCTCCACATAGTCACAGTGTGCCTCAGGAGACAGGGAAAGTAGTCCTTCAGTGCCTTAACCTAACTGAAGTGCTTTATTGATGTTTTTTCCTATCACTGTCCCATCTCTTCCTTTTTATTCGCAAGTGTTTTTCTTTCTCTTAATTTTTAACAGAAGACGCACTATTGAGCATCCCTGCAGTTGCTGATTTTACCTGCTTCTTTCTTCTAGCAACAACCAAAATCTGGTTGCTTCACTGTCTTAAGGATTTCACCCTTTCTTTCCTCAACCCTAACAGAGAGTTCACAGTCTTATAATTACAGTTTGTAACTGTCCATCTGCAGCATTTTGTTTCGTCAGAAAACAAGTGAACTTTAGAAGGGAGACATTAATAGGGAGAAAAAAAGCAAAACAGAATAAAATGAAATGTAGCAAAATTGCTGGGCAGTCTTAGACCTCATCCTGGGATCTATGCCCTCTGCACAGTGAGGGGAAATAATTTCTTTGGTTCATCTACACAAGTATAGTGACTTGTAACAAACTGGAGACATTTATCCTGATGGAAGTCTGAATCTTCACGTCCTTTTTCATAACATTTTCTCCTGATTCTTATTCCCTTGGAGCACTTTCCGTCCATAAAAATGAGAAGGAAACCGTTGAAGGCAATTAAACATTACATTTTGGCTGTCACATCTTAAAGTTTTCTTCTCATTGCTCTGTCAATGTTTTCTATTGCACTTGGAAATTTAAAACATATTCAGGAAAAACAACCCCAATGTTTGCCAGGTCAATGAGATACAATACTTACGACATGACATTCAGAACAAGAATCTATCCCAGTGTTTCTCAACCTTAGCAACTTGAAGATGTGTGGACTTCAACTCCTAGAATTCCCCAGCCAGCATGCTGGCTGAGGAATTCTGAGAGTTGAAGTCCACACATCTTCAAGTTGTCAAGGTTGAGAAACACTGATCTATCCATAAACAATGTTGTTCTTTAATGGCTTCACAAGTGATCTGATGAATCTTTGGGGATTCTCTGTGCAATTTGAAGGACATACATTTTTGCTCATAGGCATAGAGCAAGATCTATTATTAGGCATGACAAGATGGCCATTCAGCTAGAAGATTGGGGGGAGAGGTCATATAGAGGCTGCAAAATGATTTGAGTTCAAAATCTTTTAAGCTCAAAATGTTCCATTTCAGGCCCAAAACAGTGGCTTCTGTTTTGAAACAGACCTTTCTAATATCACAAGTAATGTTTGAAGCTTGAAATAACTTGTTTGAGCCACAAAACAGATCTTAGGAGTTTAAAATGGTCCTGTTTTGAGCTCAGAACACTTCCAGAAAGATCAAAACAGCATTGGAAGACTTCTGGACACACTTCCAGACAAGTCAGAACATCTCATTTTGAACCTGAAATAGCCTTGACATGTTTGCACATTTCTCATGTCGTAAAAGACAGCGTTTATTTTATTTTTGAATGTTTACAGCTAGGAGGAGATGGACAGAAATATTTGCAGGGTTTTCTGCCTCAGGGGACACAAGTGCTTGTATGACCTTGGCAATACATGTTTTGAGTTGGCCCTACATAGGATTACTACATCAAATAGACTTTCTATGATAAATATTTGTTGCTCTGCCCATAATCAGTAAGTTTTGCACAACATTAAAGTCAGCTACATGGGGAGGGAGAAGAGATTTAAATTCTTAATCCCTCTAACTGAAGTTGTAGGGAGAGGGAGAGATTTTAGAAATTGTATGCCTAAGTGTAAAGGTGCTTTAATACAGAGCCTCAGGTATCAATGTGTTTGTGTGTGGCCATGTGGATGCAGCCTTGATCTACCATCCATTGTTTCATGCAGATCTTGGGGTGTGGTGGAAATTATCTGTTCCTGCACCAGCATCATTATGAGTGGCATTATGAAGATGGGCCTCAGCAAGTCCAAGGCTCAGACACTCTGCCTTCAATTCTTTACCTTCTGGTGCTGCCATGAGAAGAGTCAAACGCTGGCTTCCATTTTGGATTGAATTCAATTTATCTCATATGTGGGAAAGCTGGCAATATTGGGAAATATGCATCATATGTATCAGGGCCAGAAGAGGGCTCTGAATATTTAGAATATGGTAATTCAGTCCATTTGGAAGGTGCTTATTAAGGACACAGCAAGGTAATGAATCGGATACGAACAGGCCCTTTTATACTGCTCTTAGGTATATTTCTCAATATGAGAAGCAGTGTTAAAATGGATTCCATTAATGAAATAAACAGCATCTCTGGGGCAAACCTCCTGCCCGCTTCAGCCAGTCACATTTGACTGCATCTCCCAAGGGGAAGCAACTTCAAGAGAAGCCATCGTAAAAAATATAACATCTGCCTCACGAAGAAAAAGTGCTCCTGGAAATGATACCAAGTGGTAAGCAAAAACAACAGTAACTAAGAAAACCAGATAAATGAGACAAAATGAGGGCATGTAACTCTGCAAGATTCTTTATGGCTATACTGCTGAAAGAGCTGCATATTCTGCAAATTAGTAATTTGTTTAGTATCTGTTAGGCCAGTGTTTCTCAACCTTGGCAACTCTAAGATGTGTGGACTTCAGTTCCCAGAATTCCCTGGTTATATGCTGGCTAGGGAATTGTGGGAGTTGAAGTCCACCCATTTTCAAGTTGCCAAGGTTGAAAAACATTGTGTTAGGCTATTCAGTATTTAACTACAAGAGCAGGTATGAGGGGGAGAAGTAGGAATAGGTAGGACGATTTATGGTTAGAACTGGGATAACGTGTGTCTGCAGGATTTCATGCAAATGGTGAGCAACAAAGATATGGCTGCTTGGAGAACCCAATCAGAAGATCATTGAGAAGAGCTTGCAAAATATGAGAGGAATGAAGCAGGCAGATGGAGATAGAAGAAGAGGGGAGAAGGATCGTACCTCTCAACTTTCTGAAACAGAAATCAGGGACAAAGCTAAAAAACATAAGGACAGAAGATGGAAATCAGGGATTCTATGTCATAAACAGATGAAAGAAATAGTAAGAAATGTATCAGATGTGAGTAATGGTTAGTACCTATGGGCTAGAAGGATGAAGAGGATTCTAGACAGAAAAACAAATTTTGAATGATAGATTTAATTGAAGAAATGGCACGTCAGTCCTTTGTCAAATAGATATATTTAATTTTTGCAATTTAAATGTTTCTTTTCTTTTAGAATATGTGCATTCTTGAGTGTCGGATGTACACACGGTTAAATCTAAGCCACACATGGATTTAACCTAAAGCACAAACCTCAGTGCAATTCCTATCCCTGAAAAAATAATACACATTAGAACTTGCATCAGATTTAGTTCATTTCTACAGTGTTATATGTAATAGCCAAAGCTCTGACTATTGTGTGGTCGTATTAATGAATTACATAGTAATTTCAATGCATATCTTAAGGCTACAAATTTTCTTTTCCTCATTCCTACAATGGAAATGCAGAAATGAACATGCCATTTTTTCAACATTTCTTCTTTGTTCTTCCTCTGCCTAAATTGAGCTTTATGACATGCAGTGATTTGGATTTGATTCCATAAAGCAGGGTTCCTCAACCTCAGCAACTTTAAGATGGGTGGACTTCAACTCCCAGAATTCCCCACCCAGCATGGCTGGCTGGGGCATTCTGGGAGTTGAAGTCCACCCATCTTAAAGTTGCTGAGGTTGAGGAACCCTGCCATAAAGGAACTGCATTTAGGGTGACAGAGGATTTAGGGTGACAGAGCACTTAACTCTCTGCTCTTGATGCATGATCCTGGGAGAAGACATAGCTGCTTTAAAGCGTTGCAGACTAGTGCAACTCTTTCTGTGCAACAGGTGCAACATACATATGTATAGAGAAAGACATATAAACACACCAGCTTGGAGTCATATGCAAAAGTAGGAGAACAGTTGAAAGGTATGGGTTAGAGCAGCTGGATAAATCAAACTCCATTCCTTGCCGTATACCTGAACTCCTTGTTTTCCTGGCAGCCCTGGCATTCCCCTCTCCCCCTGGAAGAGGAAAATAAAATAAAGAAGATAAAGAAGAAGGAAGAACTGGGGGCAAATATAAATTCCCCATCTTAATTAGTGATCATTTAGAACAAAAGAAAACTATTCCATGAGATTCTAAGAAGCTTTGAAAGTCATGAATAAAAATCCATTGTAACAGCAAATAGTTCATTTGTGGTCCTTTTAGACATCACTCAGTGGGCTGATATTAGCCCCCTCCCACATGGACTACAGTTTGCAAGGAGCAAAATATTTTATTTTATTATTTTATTTTATTAGCAGACTACCCAGGTTGCTTTGGGGTATTTAAACAAGCATTCCTCATTACATGCAAGATATATCTTTGGAATGGTAATGTTATATCCAGTATAAAAAGAATATTACTGAAATGGTGCTTTGATAGGGAAATTAGTCATGCACAGGGAGGCTTTATATCAGTGTTTTTCAAACTTGGCAACTTTAAGACGGGAGGACTTCCCATCAAAATGGGAGGAAGGCCCTGGGGAGTTCTGGGAATTGAAGTCCACCCATCTTAAAGTTGCCAAGTTTGAAAAACACTGCTTTACAGCAATTGAGAGGACAGAGAAAAATCCGTAATACTTTAACCATAACTGTGCTGGGCCACAGAAAAATTACTTTAAATTCAACATTTTCTGGCTCACCTTTCCTTTATGGCTTTATGGAGGAAATTGACCCACTTGTGTTATGTGAATGACTCAGTGCAAGCACCTTAACATATGGAAACTGGTGTGGAGTGATTCAAAGTTGACAGCACTCGTAACACCTAATATCCTTCATTGTTAGGGCAGAACTTGGCTAGATGCACGAAATTGGGACTGACAGAAAATTACATCCCAGTGCCAATTCCCTTCTCTACTGCAGAGTATCATTTACTGCTAGACCACAATGTTATGTGTTTTCCCATTCCATGCTGCTGATTGTGACCAATGGAAGTGGGAAATTACACAGCATGGAGCAGAGAGAGAGAGAGAGAAAGAGAGAGAGAGAGAGAGAGAGAGAGAACTCTGATCTTTTGATTCAGGATTATGGCTTTGATTACACTCCTTCCTATTCTGCATAATATATAGTTCTATCATTAGGATTGTACTCATCAGTGTGTTTCTGAGTGTAGCTGAGGACAGGCTGATATTCACGGAAGTATTTATCAGTATAAGTCACCTGATTAAAAACTATTGTGTGCTCTTCTTGGATGAAGTGCATTTCCGTGAACTTATTTTTTTCCCAAGAGCTACTTCCTTGTGTGACATTTGTACCAAAGTACCTTTACGTGGATCTAAAATTTCTTGTACAAAGCAGGTCTAAGAGAATATATATGTATCTGACTGTGTTAGTTATTAGCCTTCAAGGGAAGTTCATATTAATTACCTGTTTGGAATTCAGGAAATTAATATCCAATTTTATACCTCCAGAGTGAAACATGTGGACAAAGTGGAATTGAGATAAACTCAGATCTAGTTTAGGCTCTTTTATCTTTCCCCAGTATCTGTTTTACAGTCCAGGTCTGTCTATAATTCTTTCCAGTCTCCTACCAGTGAAATGTCCTTGCTTGCATTTTTTTAAAAAAATAATCATGAAATATTAGTTGTTGCTCAACTCTTGCAAGCAGACTTTAATTCTTTCATATGAAATGAATGTTCACCCCCCCTGCCCGCAGCCCCCTTTTCTACAATGGAGAAACAAGCCTTTGTTCTGCTTTCTGATTTATTCTACATTTGTCCCAAAGAAGAGACCAGTTTCCAACACTAACAAAGGGCCAATAATGGACCTTTGGCTCCTTGAATTAATTAAAGCTGGGTGAATCTTGCATTCTCTGGCTCACAGCCTTCTCCTTCTCTTGGTGACCTGGTCCTCCATGTCCAGTGTGTTTCAAACTTGGCAACATTAAGATGTGTGGACCTTAACCTCCACAGAATATCCCACCCCCCGCGGCG